CATATGCGTAGTCCACGAAAGCTTATGCTCTAATAAATTTGTTAGTCTCTAAGGTGCCACAAGTACTCCTGTTCTTCTTTTTGCGGATACAGACTAACACGGCTGCTACTCTGAAACCTGTCATTATGTAGGTGTGTGCATGCCATGTGCATGATCGTCGGAAGGTTTTTCTCTAGCAGTACCCGTCAGGTCATCTATGGAGCCCCCTGGAGTGGCGCCTTCATGCTGTGTATATAGGTTCCTGCTGCCTCTTCAGTTCCTTCTTACCGCCAGTGATGGTCGTTGAAGCAGCTCCTCTCTTGCATTAGCTAGCGATTTCCTAGTGGACTCTCCTTTTCACTCTGTAAAAGGTTTGAAAGTCTTAATGATAAAGTTATAATTGATGATAAGTGTAGTAGTTAAATTTTAGTTGGGGGTTAACCTCCTCACTATTTTGTTCCCGTCCCGGGGACCGGAGCATGCCTTGGTCTTAAGGTTTCAAGCCATGGGGGTCCTGCCTGAAGCCCATGCCAAGGGGAGACCCACATGATTTCTGTCTAAAGTGTTTCGGAGAGGGACACCAGTCCAAGAGGTGTAAGATCTGCAGGGGTTTTAAACCCAGAACTAAGAAGGAGCGGGACTTTCATTGAAGCTCCTTCTAATGGAGTCAGTTCTTCAACCCCAACCGTCCCAGGAAGCTTTAACGTCTGAGCCACCTTATACAGTGTTTTATAAAGACAAGGTGCAGTTGCGGCTGCACCTATCCGTTCCCCCTAAAGTAGTCTCACAGTTTCATGGAAATCAGAATATCTTTCTACCAGTGTTCTTCCCGAAGTTGGACGCAAATGACAGGGGACGCAGGCTCCATTCCCAAGATGTTAGACAGGCTCTGGCTTTTTACACTGTTTAGGAAGTCGATGAAACTCTTCATTGCCATTGCTGAGAGAATGAAAGGGCTGCCGGTCTCATCCCAAGGAATCTCTTCTTGGATCATGGCCTGTATGAGGGCATGCTACAACCAGGCAAAGATACCAGCCCCAGCATTGACAGTGCACTCCGCGAGAGTGCAAGCTTCACCTGCAGCATTCCTGGCACAGGTCTCCATTCAGGACATCTGCAGGGCGGCGAAGTGATCGTCTGTTCATACCTTTATGTCGCACTATGCCATCACACAGATAGAGATGATGCCGCGTTTGGTAGAGCAGTGTTTCAGTGAGCAATTGAGTGAACTCCAATCCCTCCTCCAGGGGAGTGCTTGGGAGTCACCTACCTGGAACTGACATGGGCAATCACCCAAAGAAAAAACGGTTATCTACCTTTTGTAACTGTTGTTCTTCTAGATGTGTTGCTCCTGTCCATTCCAAGACCCACCTGCCTCCCCTCTGTCGGAGTATCTGGCAAGAAGGAACTGAAGAGGCATTGGGTCGGCAGGGTCCTATATAAATGACCATGAAGGCGCCTCTCCAGGCGGCTCCAGAGCTGACCCGATTGGTACCGCTAAGGAAGAACCTTCCGATGATCATGCATGCAGTGCACACACACCTACTTGGAATGGATATGAGCAACATATCTTGAAGAACAACAGTTACGAAAGGTGGGTAACCATTTTCCCCACCCAAAGAAGCAAGATAATCTTTCATAGTTGATGCACAGAATGGGGGACAGCAATTACTCACATGCTCCATCTTAGGGAGTCTTGAGCTGACATCAGAACATTTGCGTTCTAGTTATATCCTTGCACGGTGCTTAAAGAGAGGGACCCAGGTTTTCAGAATGTGCACATTCAAAAACACACATGCAGAATTACCATGAATAATGCAGTCCTGTGAACCATGTGCAGATCATGTGCTCGTAACACCATGAAAGCATCAGCTAAAAAACTGCTGTCTAAGTTACAAATAGTATTATTTGGGGTAAGAAATTAGAGCTTTTCTAAATTTAGCAAGTGTTCTTAAGCAGTACAATTTTTTTTAGCTACAGAGAATGGTGGTTTTTTTTTTTAAGTGGTGTTTTTGTAAGATCCTGAAATTGAGGGTGGGAGGAGAGAATATCTATAGATGGCTATTCCCAGGATTTGGTGTTACTGCTCAATGCAGCTATGAGCTAAAAAGTTTACTTTTAAACTCTATTTAACTGTTCTGGTGCTTATTACACACTTATAATTGGTAAGCTCTTTTCCATTGAGCTTATCCTGTGCCCAAATCTACTCAGTTATAAGGGCTTAGTCTTCTTTTATTAATGTAGGTCTCCGTTTTATGGTAAATTAGGTTGACAATAATTGGAGTTCTGAAAACAGTCTTTTCAAAAGGGATCACTATCCTATGACAAACAAAGAATTTATGCCCTCTAAATATAGCAAATTATGTATTTTTCAAGAGTACTTCCTCACTGATCCTTTATAATCTAAACTTTAAAATGCTTATGCTCTTTCCTTCTGTGAGTTGTCTTTTTACCCATGGCAGGTAAAAAACAACTGAAACAAGAAAATTTCAGTGGCCTTCCCTTAAACTTAGGAAACCTGTGTACTTAGGTATTTGCCTGGACAAACACCTTGTGTATCTCTAATAGTCACTTAATATACAGTCTCCCCCTCCCCCCCAGAGTGCAAATTAATTCCATTCTAAACACAATTTTCATCTAAAGTGACTCCTATATTTTTTCTACTGATGGGAGTATTGCTGTGTCATGTCTGATTTGGTTGTTGTAGAAGAGGGAGGCTAATGTGTGACTATAGTTTTGTTTTGCCATGTCTCTTGGCTATGGAAGTATCTATTAGAGAATTCAACTGCAAAGAAGTTGTTAGGGGGTTGGAGAGCTTGCAAAATCTCCCTTGGAGCTCCTGCTTAAGTATTGGTTACTAGGCAGAAAACATGGTGTGACTGTTACATTTGACTAGGGATTTATATCAGAAATTATTCTATTAATGCAAATCCACTGTCAGTATACATAACTACAATAAACTGTTTAAAAGATTGTTTTAATCCTTTGATTTAGACAGTCATTCCTAGCTTAACTTTCGAACAGTAACTTATTGAACAAATACTTAGGAAAATGTTTAGGAAAAAAAATGTTGAGTTCTTGGGGGGAAATGTTGGATTTACATTTAATTTTGCTAAACTTCAATGAAAAATGTCTAATACTTCTGCTTTTTTGATTTAAGGTTTACAGCTCGACCATTAGTGGAGACCATATTTGAAAGGGGAATGGCCACATGTTTTGCATATGGGCAAACAGGCAGTGGAAAAACCCATGTAAGCAATTCTTTTAAGCTCAATAACACAATGTATCCACAGTACAATTTTTTGTCACTTTCACTTAGTTGGTTCACTTATTAAATAACCAGACTTGTAGAAGAGCTCTGTGAAGTTTGAAAGCTTGTCCCTCTCACCAACAGAAGTTGGTCCAATAAAAATATATTACTTCACCCAACTCGTCTCTCTGATAATAAATATGTTCTGCCATTTTTATTTTAGACTATGGGTGGTGACTTTTCAGGAAAGAACCAAGATTGTTCTAAAGGAATTTATGCACTTGCAGGTAAGTAATCAGGTGCGTGCATGTATTTTCTTACGAGTTGCTGGAGATAAACAGATAAATTAAAATGGGTAAACTAGATTTTTCTACTAAGTGCCTGCATATTTTGCATTGTTATAGAAGGGAGGCACCAATAGCTTTTAAGCTTGTAAACTTTATTTACTTCAATATATGTATCAGTGTACTTAAGAAAGTATAAATGGCTGAGGAATTGAACTTCCCATTTGTGGGGGCTTCTGTAACTCTCCAAAATATTTTAACTCCAAAAGGAATTCTTAAGACAAATATACCAACTCCTGAAAAGAATGTGTAGGAGTACCTGGCCGTCCTGCTCTGTCAATCTCTAAGGGAGTCCATGCCTCCTAGCTGTCACACACTTAGAACAATAATTTGTAAAAGGGGGAAACTAGCTGTCTCTAGAGCTTTGGCCTTCTGGGTTGAACAGTATTTTGTCATCGGGGCTCAGGCCCTCAAGCAGGGCGATGCACCCAAATAGTACAAGGGACTCTGGCCCTCAGGCCGGGCAGAACAGTGAATAATCTAGGGGCCCAGGCCCTCAGGTAGGGCAGAGCAATAAAGGGTTTAGGGTCCTAGCTCTGGCAGATGGTAGACTAACACAGGTCTCCTGGCTTAAGGTGGGGAAGCTGCCACCCCAGAAATGGGGTAGTAGGAGGACCTGGGCCCACCATACTTCACCGGGTCCCAGCCCTGGGTCCGAACAGTGGCGGACTGTTCTGCCACTAGGTCGGCAGGGATCCGGCCGCAACACGTTGGCCTGGGTTCAGGCAGCAAAGCAGCTGGACTATTGTTGGCTATTCCTGGGCTACTTCCTACCCTCCCTTTGGGGTGTACCTAAATCCTGGGATCATCTTCCATCTCCCCAGGGTACACCACCAGTGGCAATCCCGGTAGCTCTGGTAAGTCTTCGGGACAGTGGTGGTTTTCTGCACGCTCCTGCTCCAGCAGCAGGTTGGAAGTATATGTCTTCCTCAGCAGCTCCAGCTCAACTGAGCTGCAGGGCCCACCTTTTGTAGTTCCTGTTCCTGTCCCGCCCCTCTGCTTCTGGTGGAGTGGGCATGGCCTTCCAAGTTCCACCCACCAGGGGGCATATGGCCATTCCTCCCTGTCAATCTCTGAGGGAGGCAATCCCTCCTCACTACAGAATGGAATACCTGATTATAGTTGTAACATGTATGCGAGAGAGACATGTGAATAAGACAGACAATTGTGTATTTAAAGATTCTTGACTAGATGAAAATGCATAACTAGATTTCTGTATATTTGAAAATTTATTCACAGCTCGAGATGTCTTTTTAATGCTAAAGAAGCCAAACTATAAGAAGTTAGAACTTCAAGTATATGCAACATTTTTTGAGATTTACAGTGGGAAGGTAAGTGCAAGTTCTTGATTTGGGAAAAATATCTTCAGAGAACACATAAGGGTTCTGAACAGAACACAGAAGGATTTCTCATTTTATTTTCATATGGATATTTACAGCATTTTTCTAATCACTTGTTTGGCTGAATTATTCTGAATTTTATTATTATTATTTAGAATTAAGTGTTTCCTAAAGCCCTTATTATACCTAATTTTTTTTTAAGGTTTTTGACTTGTTGAACAGGAAGACCAAATTAAGGGTGCTGGAGGATGGTAAACAGCAGGTCCAAGTGGTGGGATTACATGAACGGGAGGTTAAATGTGTTGAAGATGTACTCAAGCTTATTGAAATAGGCAACAGCTGCAGGTATCTACTATGTTTTTAGTTTTTCAGTGTAAATTACAGTGAATCAGAACACTTGTCATAATAAGACTGTGTGTTTGTCCTTTCAAAGTCTTAGCTTTCTACACTGTACAATACAGCTTTTCTTGAGCTGATTGACTACAGTTGTGCTGTTGCCTTCCTTTTGGATAAAAGTTGTTTGGTTATCTACATCTGCCAAGAGGAGTTGAGATGAATTTTCTGTGTGCTGTGAACTGTATGTATTTATGTAACCAGCTTACTGTCTTAATGTCACATTGTTAATACTCTGGAATACTGACTGATTTTTAGGTTTTAAAAACCAGCATACATTTATGTTATATGACAGAGATTCTTTTCTTTTCTTTTCTTTTCTTTTCTTTTCTTTTCTTTTCTTTTCTTTTCTTTTCTTTTCTTTTCTTTTCTTTTCTTTTCTTTTCTTTTCTTTTCTTTTCTTTTCTTTTCTTTTCTTTTTTTAAATCCAGCCTTACTGTGTTTAAAAAATAGTCTTTTGCCATGATTATTGCTCTCAAAAGATTAAAATGTTCTTTCTAGGATCCAGTCTGATTATACATTTGGGGGGTGGGGGAGGGAAAAATGCTTGGATACTGCTCTTTCTCTTTCATGCTTGCGCTCTCCCCCCTTTTTCCTGGTAGACGAGATGGAGCAGTATATGTAATTTTACTGTTTTTTGTCAAGTTGTATTTTGGTGGTATCCACAACGTGCTAGGCACTATCAACACTTCACTTCCCTGCCCTGAAGAGCTAACTTACAGGATGTTTCAGTGTGTGTGGTCCTTCATGTGCACTAAATAGTTTTCTCCTCCTCCCCCCCCCCCTTTTTTTTAAAAGAACATCTGGTCAGACATCTGCAAATGCACATTCATCTCGGAGCCATGCAGTGTTTCAGATTATTCTCAGAAGGAAAGGGAAACTGCATGGTAAATTTTCTCTGATTGATTTGGCTGGAAATGAAAGAGGAGCAGATACTTCCAGTGCTGATAGGCAAACACGGCTGGAAGGTGCTGAAATTAACAAGAGCCTTTTAGCACTCAAGGTAAATAAAATTCACTCAATTCTATTTGAGCAGATGGAAGTCTGCTCATTTATTATTCTTCAGATAACCAAAAAAAGTCTCTAATAAGATGAGTGTTTGTGTAGGTAGGTCTTGTCCACTAAATTGATAAATTGATTGCTACGACATTTAAAATGTTTCCTCTAAATGCTTAAGCGGACACTTGTACTATAGTTCTACTTGTTAATTATTGTGTAACGAGCATGATATAGAACATAAAATTACTTGGTAATATGGTATAAAGATTTTCTTAGCATAAGCATGGGATGGCAACATTATTACCAAGTGACATTTGGGGGCTAGATCCACAAAGGGATTTCATGCCTAAGTCCAACATTTAGGGGCCATTGAGATCCTCAAAACTCTTGCATAGCTGCCACCTAACCTTGAATGCACTGAATTCCCTAGAACTCCAGATTCACAATCCTAACATGTTTCCTTGCTAGACCACGCTTCCTCCACAAAGTACGGTTATGTGCTTGTCTTTCAACGCATAACTACAGTGCTGTGATTGTGAACTTGGAGACTAAAGATTTGGCTGCCCTTGACCTGGAGATGTAATTTCTAGCTAAGGTTGACATGTGTACGCTAGATTTGATCAAGCATGCTAAAAATAGTTGCACGCTTGATAGCTGCGGCAGCCTGGATGGCAGAATGAGCTATCCATCTTAGTACCTAGGGTAGCAAGTGGGATTATACTCAGGGCGGCTATCCTGTCATGCTGCTTGTGCTGCCACTGCTATAATGCTATTTTTAGTGTGTTAGCTTGATCAAAGCTAGTATGCATGTCTGCCTACGATGAAAATTACACCCCCAACTTGAGTGTATACAAACCGTTAGTATTAATTCTGAACTTCCTTCATTACATTCATTGAAGGTGGATGCCTAATATTAACTTAATTTTAATTTAAAGTACAGCAACATATCATCCTGTGCTTATATTTTCTGTATGTGGATTGCATTTATATTGTAATATTTTTGCTTTGATTATGAGGAGAACATAAACTTGTTTGTTCTTTCAGGAGTGCATTAGAGCCTTAGGCCGAAATAAACCTCATACTCCATTCAGAGCAAGCAAACTTACTCAGGTGCTAAGAGATTCATTCATAGGAGAAAATTCCCGTACCTGTATGGTAAGTTTGTTTATTAGATTGTAAGTGATATATTTATAAAGAGAACAGGAACTGCCTATTAATGATCTGATGGTTAGTCTTGGTAACTTGCTACCAAGAGAGTAGATTTAAAATTTTTATTTAAAGTTAATGTTTAAAATTAAATGTACACAAGTTAAGAGGGAAGGTACTGTAATCTGGGGTCTGGCTTGAGTTATGAGGGATTACAGGTATCAGTTACAAGGATGAAGAGTTACATACATATCACATAACCAGCATAGACCCAGATAGGGGTGTGGGGTTTTTTAAAGCATCAGTGGATAAGTGGGCTCAGGTACGTCACCCATGGAATGTATATTAAACTTGATTGTATCCAACATATGGCATGACACTTAGAGATCATCTTTCCTCCCCTTTTTCCTTCTCCCCAGCCAGATATCTTCATTGTGTATGTGTTTGGCAGTAGTACCAGAATCTTGGAAAAGATGGGGGGAAATGCATGAGAGTCTCTGACCTGACAAAAAGATAAATTCAGAGCTGGTATCAAGTACTCAGACTGTAGGATAGTCTGCTTGGAGGTGAAAGGGATTAGAGAAGTTAGTATAGGAGAATTAAAGAAGGGGATAGAGACATACGTACATCAATGTGCAATATCATTACCCAGCAATCATTCTGAAAAGCAGGACTTGTTCTGCCAAATTGGCAGAGGGAACAGATTAGGAGAACCAAAGGTTCTCTTTAACTTTCAAGTGCAGTTCTACTGTTTAATCGATTTTAGTAAAAATGACATTTTGTGTTCCATAACAGTTCTCTCTCAATAACTTCTGGATCAAACGTTGAATTTATAAATGGAAATGTGGTGCTCTTCTTCCCCCCCTCCCGCCCCCCCCCAACCTCCTCCAAACAGCCGACTCAACTAATTTCACCCAGAATCAGAAAGCTGAACTGTGTTCTTTCTGGCTTGTGCATGAGCACTAGTAATAAAGATTCTGCAAGTTAGTCTTCCGTTACTTTTGCCTGTTTTCCATGAGCAGAAATTGGCCCTACAGTTAGTTTCTTTAACATGTTTTATTACTAGTGCAAAGCCAGAATAGACCAAACTCACTTTGCCATAGCTGAATTAGATCTGCTGTGGTAACAGTGGTGAAAACTTGTTTAAATCAAAAATAGTAAACAGATAGGAATATGAATACATGCAGGAATTAGACTAATTGAATCAGAGTGCAGTTCTGATTAAAATCATACCACTTTTTGAATACTACATAGATATCTGTGTATTATTTTCCTGATTTCCCAGGTTGAATTTGCTTAATTTTTATAATTTTTGACATCTATGAGAAGAATTTACTATTTTTATTTATTTATTTATTGCATTGAGAATTGCGTTGAGAATGCTGGAGTGGTCCTTATGATTCTTTGATCAGTTCTTTGTGCTTTAATTATGGATGAAACATTCATTTTTTTAAATTTCAGAAATATGTTCACTGTAAAATGAGCCTCTGAATGTGGGGGTGTGGAAATTTGACTGCATGATATTTTTTGTTTTTTTTCCAGCCACATAATTACAGTATTCCCATAATTAGGAATGTGAAGACCCTTTCATTATAAGCCACATTTTTCAGGCACTTAACTTTTTATTTTGAATTTTCTCATGCTTATTGTCCACCTAAAGACAAGATGTTGGGTTTTGGGGTATTTTTTGTGTATGTAAGTTTAAACAAATATTTTTGGCCGTGGGTTTTTTTTAAGACCGTGAAAAAATGTTTTGTAGCAGTTATGTCTTGTATGCTGTTTTTGCATTTAGATTAATTTTTTTTAAAAGATTTATTTTTAAAATTCTGTATGATTGATTGTGGAAACATTTGTAGAAACCAGGTTTATAAGCAATTGGAAAATTACTCATTTTTAACAAAGCAGAGAAATGGGAACATTTCAGATATGTACAAATTGCACCACTTGTGAAGTAACATATTATCAAATATAGTTTAAGATAGTTAGGTCAGACCAGTCAGCTGTTCAGCACCTCCACAAACCCTAGTCAGCCTTTCCTACCCTCGAAACAGTCTTTCTGTTTCTTCTGACCCTCTTACTCCCCAACCATTGATGTTATGAATTAGATCAGGGATTCTCAAACTTCATTGCACCGTGACCCCCTTCTGACAACAAAAATTACTATACGACCCCAGTAGGGGGGACTGAAGCCCGAGCCCACCAGAGCTCCACTGCCCTGTGGGTGGGGGGGGGCCAATTCCAAAATTGGGTGTGGCCTAAATTGAAGCCCAAGGGCTTCTGCTCCATCTGGGGTCCTGTAATCTGAGCACAGCCAACCAGGGCTGAAGACGTTGGGCTTTGGCTTTCATCCTTGGCCCCGGGCCCCAGCAAGTCTAATGCCAGCCCTGGTGACCCCATTAAAACTGGGTTGTGATCCTCTTTGGGGTCCCGACCCACAGTTTGAGAATCGCTGAATTAGATCATGTCATTGATGACACACTCAGTTCAGATTTCACATGCGCTAGTCTAAAACATCAACTTAATGTACTGTGCTCTACTGGAAGTGCAAAACTGAAACTGATGCAGAGAGTGTAGCAAAGGACATGCCAGTCTTGAGAAACATCTGATGCTGTCTTTCTTCTTACCCCTATATTTTAAAATGGCATTGCAAAGGATGCAACAAACTTGCAGACCTTTCTGCTAAAACTGTGTACACTGCTGTTTTCAGAATTTACACTTTCAAGCACAGTGTGTTCTATGTAAAGGGCGTAAAGTCCTAGTGTGTGAAAAAAATGTGAGTATGCAATGTAATGACTGCATTTATTTGACTGTAGAATACCATGATCGTGCGTGTCCTTGTCTTTTTTATTTTATTTTATTTTATTTTATTTTATTTATTTATTTATTTATTAAAAGAAGGAACTTCTAAGAACTGCTAGAGCAACTTCGTGATTATTTTACACACACAGATGTCAGGAACTTGTAAGTTATGGTTCTCATCATAACTACAACTCTGATTAAAACTTTAGTATATGTGCAAAGTTAACACCTTATGCGGTATATAAGCTAGAACACATGGGTTGTCAGCTAATACAAACACACCTTTGATTTGCTGAGGCATAAGATTTCAAGTATTTTTAGCCTTAGAATATGGATTTTTTTTAAACAAAAAGTAAATACTTTAAAAGAAAATAGTCTCATTTTATTGATCATGTAAAATACTTAATCAAAATTTCACTCCCCCCACCCCCACCCCCAATTATCCTGTCTTTTGGCAGTGAGAGTATCTTTTCTTGTAAGGAGATTTGTTTACAAGAGAAATAAATCTGTCTCAAATGTTCTAATTTGCCATTAGAGTTCAAAACATTTTGCAAATGTGGGTTGTGTATATATTATCCATAAACTTCCATCTTAAGGAACATCTTGTATGTACGTGAATTCAGGTTCTTGAAATGTGCTAGTGCATACCCACTAGTTCATTTTTTCTTGCACAAATCAGCTTTGGAGGGCTGTTCTTTGAGCCTGAAAAGCTCTTTACGATGAATTCATGGATTGTTTTATCCAATTGTCCTTTTATAATTTATTAGGTTTTCTGTTATAATTTTTAGTATTAAGCCTTAATAGGCCTAGTGTTTAAAATGTTCTCTACTGTATGTAGGAAATCAGAATATGATCCAGAAGCTTCAAGAGTTGAAAAAAAGATGTTCAATGTGGACAATTATGAGTGGGACCTGTTTCGCTATAAAGAAAGCCACAGATGTAAGATCTGCTTAAAGATATTGTTTTGAGCTATCAGAGCTCGGAAGGAGAAGTTGCAATCTTACCTTGCGACCCTCTGAGAAGCAGAACTCTGGTTTGCTGGCACAGTACCCTTTCTAGTTTTCTTGAGGTACCTTGAGTATTTGGAAGTTGGAAACATCCAACAAAATCTTCAGCTTCAAAGGAGCATCAGCATAGCTCCAGATTTTTAGTAAGGGCATCCTCTTTGAGTTTGTAAATACTGTATTATTGCTAATCTAAGTGGTATATTGAGGGATGTGTGTGTATAAACATAAGTATATATTGTTATTAATCATAGTATGTGAGAGAGCACTGGAATGTAAAGCCGTTTTCCCTGGCTTTTGACTGCTCTAGAAGTTGTACTGGTTATATCAAACTGACTGGCCCTTTGAAGTAACAAAGGTAGACTAAATCACAACGAGATATGCTTATGGGACTGTCTGGATTAGGATTTAAAGGTGTAATGTTAGCATGTTTTAACTAACGTGTGCTAACATGTTTGAAAAGACTAGTGTATATAAGGCTCACTGCCTTTAATGTGTATTAATTGCTGTTCACATTAAAGCCACCACTGTAATTTAACTTGTTAATATGTGTTAAAGTAGCATGCCTTCACTGTGATAGACTTTTAAAATGTGTGTACAGTATTAGCACAAGGTCATGGTTGCAGAACAGTATTTCCACTAACACTGGGTAACATATTGATTTCAAATGTTAAGGTCTAAATATTTGAAGATTCTGAAAAAAGATGTATTAGGTAATGAGTCAAAAACCAGCGATACTCCTGGCTCTTACTGCTAATTTAATAAAAACATTAGAGAAAAACTCTGCTACAAAAATTTCACATTGCACTGTATTTTTAAATAAAGCCAGAATGGAGATTTAAAAAAAACTCTCATCTACCGCTTCTTAAAAAAATCTGAAAGCAATGTTATGGGTGATATTTAAATGTATCAGAAGCCAGTAAATTGAAAAGTTTTATAGTTCTAATTATGCCACATTGCAAAAATATTACATCAAAGCAAATTAATTATAAGAAGTACAAAAAAAGTTAGGTTTATGCAATGATGCAAAGTTAGTTGCTGTGGGAATATTTGAATTGACTGACTTCTGTGTTTTAAGTCTTAGTGTTGCATTAACATAGTTGTTTGCCCTTTATCTCCTGTATTTATAAAAGCAAGGAAGCAGAGCATTAATTGTTAATGTATAGTCAAACAAATTTGACTGTAAATTCAAATTAATATAGAGGA